CTCTGCGAAGCTCTCCGAGTCCTGCAGGCCCCGCCAGGCTCCTCCTGCCGCCGCCTGTCCGTGGTGACGCGCGCCCGCGGTATTGGGGTGGCGAGTCCTCCGGCTTGCCGCGCTCCGCCTGCGGACCTGCGAGTGCGGCAAAGGCAGAGCAGAGTTCTCGGCTTCTCACATGCACAGCGGCTCCGCCGGCCTGGCCTACACCATTGATGCAGTATCTGATGCATACCAGACACTGTGCTATATTGCTTTTACAGGATCACCTCATTTAATTTTCAAAGCCAAGGTGATTGGCACATAAGTGTTTGCATATATAAACATTCATTTAATTGCACACTTGTGTGTTGTGCTTAGGTAAAAGAAAAACCTAGGAGAGAAATGTTATAAATATACCCATTTTATAGAGGGGGAATCTGAGGTTCAGAGTGCTCCTAACTTACTTCAAGTCTCTAGGCTGGTTGTGGTGGCACTGAGATTAGAATGGAGGAAACCTGACTCTGGAGCTAGCCTCTTACACCCCTTCAAGATGCGGGGGGGAGGGGGGGGGGGAGGAATGCTGGCCTTAACCTATTCCACCTCTCTCACCAGTAGTACCTACCCACTTCTTGAGTCCAGTGTGGCACCAGTCACAGGTAGGGAGGGATTATCCACTCACTCAGGGAAGTAAGGATAGTTTAAGCCAGAAGTGACTTCTGAAATCATATGATCTATCCTTCTCTGCCTTAGAGCTCAGAAACCAGAACCCCAAGGGATGACTCACTTCACCTGCTCAAAATCTTATGGATCATTAGAAGGCCTTTTACTCTTCTTCCTAACTCACAGAACAATTGAGAGAAGCAGCAATTTGGGGGGGGGGTGGTTATGTCCTTTCCCCTGCAGAGGGAGAGGGAGCTCAAAGAGAGGTACTGTGTTGGTCAAGTGTTTTTACCCTTTAATGGCCAGGGTCCTGGAACCCCAGCAACTAGCAGTAAGGAAATCCTTCAGCGAAGAGTTGGGAGCTATTTATACCCCATCTCCAGGCTCTGGAAAAGAGTAGGGAGCAGGGAGGGAGGTGGTTCAGTCTGGCTTTAAGTATCTCAAGACACGCAAACTTTGTGGAAGCCAATCCATAGAACCAGCTCTGTTTCCTCTACCACAGTCACACACCTCTTTTCCAAACAGGGAGGATGCAGAGTGGAGGAAGATTAACTCAGGCCAGGAGGAAACCGGGCAGGGAAGGTGGGGATCTGGCGCTGGGAGCATCCAGAGGCCATGGCCTGCAGGATACAGACTAGGTTGGAGAAAAAGGAGCTGCTTACTTAGCAAACCCCAGTGGGGAGTGAGGGCAACTGCTCCTGGAGCCTTGGGTTCCTAGAGCACAGGCGATGAGATCCAGCATTGGAAATGAGCACTCCTGGAGAGCAGGGCAGCATCTTGATCACTGACCATACCCTTCACCTAGTGAATGCTGGAGAAGTGGACTGGGTCCCAGATGTAGGTCCCATATTTGTCATACACATCTTAGTTTTCCACCCCTGCCCACCTAAGTCCTCGCTCTCTTCCCTATTTCCGCATCCCTTCAATGCTCTAAACTCTGTGCCCTGGTGTCAGGTCATCACCAAGTTCTCAGCCTCCTTTCCTACGTTTTGAACTGTAGGGTGAGGGTAACAATCTCTTGCAGGAATCTGGGTCCCAAGGCAGCATTGCAGGGCACAAAGGCAGGACATTTCTCTGAGATCTGCATGGGTTGTGTGTCTTCTGCAGGCAATTTCAGGTGTCTTGGCCCAGCCCAGGTGAGCCAAGAGCCCAGCTCAGCATCTCCCTTGCAGCCAGCACTCAAGGCCGCAGCTCCATGTCACTGGGGTCACTGCACGTGCTGGGAAAGGTGGTGCTTAAGGACCCGGCCCCATGATCTCCTACTTACTGTGTTATCTGTCCCAGAGGAAAAAGATGTCAACCTGGTCCCCGTGTCCCATGACCTCACTAGGACCTCATGAGGAGGGAGAGAAACAAATAACTCTTTGCACGACACTATGTTGTGATATTGGAAAGTACCTAAGACTCTGGTGGTATATAAGAGGGAGTGATTACCCCCACTTGGGTGGTTCAGGAAAGAAGCCTGGCCTTGAAGGAGGAGCAAGAGTTCACCCAAAAGACAGGGTGGAAGGCCATTCCATCCCTTACCGCCAGGAGGGTAAGTGTAGAGAAGTGGAGGTTACAACAGCAAAGTGCTATTAAGACTGGCTTCCCTTTTGTCATTCAGGTATTAACTCAAATGTAATCTCCTCAATTTGGCTTGCTCTGATCATCTACTCAAAAAAAAAAAAAAAAAAAAAAGCCCTCCCTTCAGCTCTCGGCTTTATTTCCTTTTTAGAATTTAGCTACTATTTTTCCATTTACTTGTTTGTTGTCTAACTCCCTCCTCCCATGCACACTCTTTAAAATAAACTCCAGAAATAAAATAAAATAAAATAAAATAAAATAAAATAAAATAAAATAAACCCCACGGGTCTACAGACATTGGTTTTTTTTCACCGTCCTCAGCATTCAAACAGTGCAAGTGAACGTATATTAGCAGGTGCTCAGTAAATACTGTTGGATGGATGGATGGATGGATGGATGGATGGATGAGTGGTTCGAGGCTGCAGGCATCGAGAAACGTATTAGGAAGCGAGAATTCCCTCCCCATCCTTTACCCTAAGCAACTCATGGGAATATAATAGCTTCAGAAGAGAAAGCTCGCTAGGAAGGGGGCTTGGGGCATCGCGGCGGCGATAGGGGTGGTGGGAGGAGTTGTCCTAGCTCCAGGAAGGCGTAGGAGAGGAGGGGACCGGCTGCAAGGAGGTGAGGGACCGGCAATCTGATGCACTATAACTCACGCTCAACTCCAGAGTTTTTCTGCCTCTGAAGAGCCGAAGCGTCTTCGCCCCTAGGCGCCGCCTCTCCAGCCTCCCGCTAGGCCTTTTTGGACTTGTCCAAGCCTCATCCTGGGCGGTCAGCGGGTTTTGGAGGATTCCCTTGCCTGCCTCCCTCCTTCCCTCCCCTCCTTTTTCTTCCTCCACCAGGTCTCTGCAGATTCCCCAGCCTGGCGGCCCCGCAGCAACCAAGCAGCCCCCGCCCCCTCCTGTAAGGGCGAAATTGCTAAACTTGTAGCAATAATGACCCTGCATTCAGGCCGCCGACTCCCGCTGAACGGCTCCGCGCCGCGGCCGGCCGGCCTAATCAGCGCGCCCCTCCCTGCTGCCCGCCCAGCCCCCGTCCCCCCTTGCCGCTCCCTCCCCCAACGCACAAAAAGTGGGGAACAAAACCCCCGCGCATTTCTCCGTCCCTCTGTTGAGCAGACTGCTACACAAAGCCCCCGCTCTGAGAAGCAATGGGGAGCTCGGGGGGGACGTCAATCCCGACGCGCTGGGGTTTTTGTTCGCGCAGGGGACTTCGCCTTCCTACCACACCTTTTGTTCGGGACTCCAATAAAAAGCCATTCTTTCCGCACCTTCCCGGCCCGGAGCCGTCTTTCAGCGAGGCCCGGCCCCACAATGGCGCGGCGCTCTGAGGCCTCCCCATTCACCCGCCTTGGCACGCTCACAATCGGCCGTGTGGCAGCACAGACCTCGCACAGGCATTCTCCGCAAGTGACAAGGAGCCGCATAAAGCCGCGGCCGCCGGGGGAGAAGGGAGGGCGGCCGAGGGGGAGAACTCGGCCGCCGCGGGGCGCAGCGCCCCTGGGCGCGCTGGAGGCCCCGGCGGCGGCCGCTGAACGAGCCGCCTTCCCGCCGCCTGCAGCTGGGCCCGGGGGCGAGGTTTCCTTTTCCCCGGCGACCTTCGAGGTGGCGCAGAGTCCAAGTCTTGGTCTAACGCAGGCCCAAACACTAGCCCAAGCATCTGGGTAAAACTTGTGGGGATTACAAAGCCGGGGACCTCAAACAGCCCTGAATCTCCGACCTGTCCTCCCACAAGAGAAAAGAGAAAATAATGAACAAAACCAAGAGGACACAGACTTGCAGCCCGGAGGCTGGCCCAGGAGAGGCCAGGCCTGCGATCGCCCAGGAAAGATTGCTTTCCCTTACGCACCTTTTCCTTGCCGACCCCTTCTCCCCTCACCCGCCCCCCACCCCCCACCCCCCACTTTAAAAAGATCTCTCTCCACTTTTGGGAGCGAAACAAAATCTGCAGTCAACGGTTTGGAAATATTGCACCTTGTTTATTGACTCCTGTAGTGTATGGCAGCGGGTGTGTACACGGCGTGTGGATATAGTCATAGATATATTAAATGTGCTGAATACAGAATATGAAACAGAAAGGAAACCTGGTAACACCTCCGGTGGGCCACCAGCTCCCGGATTTTTTCAGCCCCCCTAATGTTTGATCTTGCCTCGCTGGTTTCTCTCGCAGAGTTCCACCTCCTGACAGTCCGGAGACCCAGGCCGAGGTATCTGCTGCGGAGGGCAGGCGGTTGGGAAAAGGGAAATTGACTGTGGTGTGGTGCTCCAGGCCGCAAAAGGGGCAGAGGGGTGGGTAGGGCTTGGGATTTCTCAAGCCGCGACACCGATTTTTCTCTCCTTCATGCTTTTTTTTCCTTTTTGTCCTTGCGTTTTCTGCCATTTCGCGGAAGCCGCGGGAAAGCCAAGAGGAAAGAAGGCCTTCTTGCTTCGGGAGAACCAAGCGGCAGCCAGAGTCCCAGCCTCTCGCACTCACTTCGGGGCCAGAGTCGGGGCCATTGTCCTCCCCGGCACCCGGCCGGAGTTTCTGCCTCAGAGACAATCTCCGCGATCGGTCTCGAGCGTCCTCCTCGCCCCTCACCCCCTTCCCCAGGCTGCGCGCGAGCTGTGCTCCAGGGCCCTGGGGATCGAGACGTGTTTTTTGTGGGTTGTTGTTTTTTGTTTTTTTTTTGTGGGTTTCTTTCTTTCTTTTTTTTTTTTTTTCTTTTAACGAGGGGACCTGGCCCTTAGATCCAGCCTTTCTCGCCCTTCAGTCCCGCGATGCCGGGCTGCAGTGGGGCGCCTGCCGCGCGACCAGCCGCGTCCCTACCAGGCCCGGATGCCCTGCAAGGTGCCCTGCGCGCACGCCGCTCCGGCCGCCGAACCCTGGTGCAAAGGCTGCGCGCCGCCACCGCCGCCAAAGCCGCCCAGGTTGCTCACGTTCACAAAGGGGCCGCCTCCGGCCGCGCTGCAGGCGGGCTGCATGGCCGCGGCCGCCGCGGAGGCCCCGCCGCCCCCGCCGCCGCCGCCGCCTGCCGGGTACGCACAGCCGTAGCTGCCGCTGTAGGCCGCCGCGGCGGCGGCGGCGGCGGCGGCGGCAGCGGCGGCGGCGGCCGAGTTCCCATAGCCGTAGGCGGGGAAGCTGTTGTAGGAGTAGGCGCCCGCACCCACGCTGTAGGGCGCGCCGTAGGCTTGCGCGCCCGGCGTGACGCACGGCTTGCCGTCCCGCACCAGCACAGGCACGGCCACGCGGCGCGGCGGCGGCGGGGGAGCGTGCGCGCCCAGCTCCAGAGACTTGTCCTGCCGCTGTCTCTTGCACTTGTACCTGCGGTTCTGGAACCAGATCTTCACCTGCGTGGACGTGAGCTTCAAGCTGCTGGCGAGGTGCTCGCGCTCGGGCGCCGACAAGTACCTCTGCTGCTTGAACCTGCGTTCCAGCTCGAAGACCTGGGCTTGCGAGAAGAGCACTCGGGGCTTCCGGCGGCTGCGTGGCTTGGGTCTCTCGCTGTCCTCCGCCGCCTTACAATCCCCGGCCGCCTCCAGAGGCTTCTTCAGCTGGCAGCTTTCTGCGGAAGAAGCAAAACAGCAGCGTCCCTTAGCAGTTCCCCGCCTAACCGCGGTTCCTATCCCAGAGCACTGTGGCCCCTTGGGTGGTAGCGCGGAGCATGCGGTAGTAAATGCCTGGACTTTCTGGAAAGTTTGTGCCTTCTGGAGGCATGGGACCCTGCGACAGCCCAAGTACCCTCAGAACGCGCTTAGCGGGCAGAGGCACGTTCCACGGGGAGGGGTAGTTCGCGTTTATTTGGAAATTGAGCATCTGTGAGAAAGAGATTACTTTGTATTAAATATGCGGCTCGGCGTGCTAATGACTGTTTTCAGGATGAAAGCTTGCAACTCTATCATAACTATAGAGTATTTGCAACTTGTTTGCCTTCCACTCTGTAACGGAGAGCCGAAGATGTGAAGCATGTCGGTATTTGGGGCTGGTGTGTGTGAGTTGCGTGAAAAATCTTTCTGTTAGAAAATGCTTGAGTATAACGCTCCTGCATTGCCTAGGATTTTTTTTTTTTTTTTTTTTGCTTTTAAAAGACAACATGCTCCTCCCCCACCCCCAGCTAAATGTCTGCGTAACGATGAGTGTGTTACCTTTGAGAGAAAAAGAAATTTGATTAACGGATTTAGACCTATCATGTGGAATTTAGGCCCAGGAGAACTGTCAGGAGTATAGGCCTTGGCTGCTGCCTTATCAGACCTCCTCTTGGGAAAGACGTTCTTTGACTCTCTGCCCTTAGAAACAAACATTTCTTTGGGAGCTTTGTTCAGTTATCCTATCTCCCTACACAATTCACCTCCCACTCGGTGTGAAGATGTGAGCGGCTGGGATCTAGGACTAGGTTCGGCACGGTTTTCACTCGGCCTGCAGCCCCACAGCCTGGGACACAAAACAAAACGTTATGAATTTAAAAAAAAAAAAAAAGGCCAGCGCCTCAGAGGTGTGAACTTACTGCACACGGGAATGGAGTGGGTTCCCACGCACTCTCCCAGACCGTCCGTCCCCTCCTTCTCTGCCCGGTGCCCTGGGGTCCAGGACACTGAACTCCAAGCAGAGGAGTGAGGAAATCACCTAGCTGGTCTCTACCAAAGTTCCTGCGCCCTGCCAACGCAACCTGCTTGGATCATCTTTTTGGAGAAGAGGGGACCACTGTCCAGGCCTCAAAGAGCTCTTTTCACGCGAGGGGGAAAGAGGAAGAGGCTCAACCTCTTGTCTCTCTAGCTGCTGGATCCTGACCACTGAGCCCATGTTGCTTATAGGCATCAGGGCAGCAATAACTACTTTCCCTTCCCTTGGGGGCTTGCATCGCCTCTCCTCTCCGGGAGGAGTTGTCGGGGTCACCTCGTCCTTCTCCCTCTGACCCGGCTCGCTCGCAGGCACCTGCGCTTTGCGGAGCTGTCGTTGACCAGGGTGAGGCATGACCCCAGCCAAAGGTTAAAGGGGCGGGAAGCAGTACTGGCAAGGTCTGTGGGCTGATGCGGGCGCTCCGCCATTGCTCCAGATGTGCGGGTGCTTTTCTCTCCCCCTCTACTCACTTTGGCTCCGGTCCCTCACGACCTCGGGCTCCTCTTCATGTTCCTTAGGCCCGCTACACGAGTCTCGCAGGACTGTGTGGACGTAGCTCTGGGGACAGAGCCCCGAGCCCCCGTGGCCATCAGCTGTGGCTAGTGAGTTCAAATAGGACAGTTTGTCGCCTTCTTCTTCCTCGTCTTCTTCCCCTCCATCAGAAAACTGAGTCCCCTCGGTGGCGGCCAGCATGCACGGTGCGGAGTGGAAGTGGTGCTCCAAGTCCGCCTGCAAGTGCGCGCCGTGGAAGTGCTGCTGCTGCTGCTGCTCCAGATTCAAAATGTCTTTGACTGAGAAAGGGGTGGAGGTGACCGGGCTTGGTAACATCATCAGGGCCACTTAATTGTCCAGTCCAAATACTCAATAAATCCCGGCGGGGGCGGGGAAGCAGTGCAGCGGCTCCAGCTCTCCTTCTGGACTCTGCCGCTGCTGCCGAGTCGAGTTTTTGACAGACGCGGTCCCTCTCCAGTCTAAATCGCCTCCATTGGCCCGGACCTGGGGGTCTGGGTTTTGTTACAGCCACTGCTGGGACTGGAGCCGGGGCTGCGAAGCCTGTGTCCGGGGGTCGTGCGTCACGTCGGGGGCGGGGCTCTCGCCTCGGCCTCCCTCCCCATTGGTTCCGGCTCATGTGGACCACGCCCCCCTCATTCACTGAGTTGGGTGCTGTGGCTCTACAAGAAATAAAGGACTAGTATAGAGTCGCGAAGTCCAAGTGGTTGTGGGTGAGGCTGCAATGCCCCCGGTACCCGAACTACCGATTCCCGCCCCGCCTGGCTGTACCTTCCCGGCCAGGGCCGGCTCTGGGAGGCTTCATGTCCATGAGCCAACCGCCAGGAAGAATGGCCCAGGAGCGTGGTTTTTCCAGTTGTGATGGGGCAAGAAAACTTCCTGGCCTGTAAATACCGGCCACTGGATTCCCAAGAAGACGGATTGTTGTGTATATCTATGGATGCGCAACGTGTCTGTTCCCGACTTGTTGACTTTACTTAAGCTGTTCCCTCCACTCGGAACGTCTACCCTGCCCTTGTCTCCATGAATGGAAAGCTGTTCTCCAAGGCTCTGCTCAAATACTACCTCCTCCGAGGAAGCTCTCCCTGATCGCCTAGCCTAGCAGGAAGTCATCCCTCCCTCATCTGAACTCGCAGCGTGTTAGTAAAGGACGTTCGTGTCACTTAACACTTTCCACCCAGTACCCACCCTGGGTAAACTATGAGCCCCCAAAGGCAAGGGCTCCGTTGTATTTGCCTTTGTAAGCCTTACAGCTCGCGAAGCAGCTATGTGAGAGACAGGAGGATGGAGTCATTACTGAACTTGGTTGTCTGACAGCTCTTGGTTCGAATCCTGACCTAGTCAGTAGCCTTGGGCGTCTCTAAGCTTCAGTGTCTTTGCCTACAAAAAGGAGGTAGTACTACTTATTCAGGGGTTGCTGCCAGGGATAAACGAGAAAACACGCCAGGAGTTTAGTTCAGGGCACCACACATGTTAAGCGCTCAGTACACCTCAGCTACCACTATTCTCCATCAGAGATCAACGAGTGTTTGTTGACTGCATTGGTGATGCCGTGGCTGGAGTGCTGCACACACAAGGTGGATTCTTAAGGTCTTGAGAGCAGTATCTGTGACCCAGCCAAGGAGGACTTCTTTTCTGCATATTCAAACCGGGCGCTTGGATCCAGGCCCTTACCCTTGGAGGCGGCTTTCTAAATTTCTCCAACCCGTACGCCTTCTGGCGCCCTCGTGTGGCCCTGGTTATTTTCTGGGCGAATCTGTGGGGTCCCCTGATGGTTTGGAAACTCCACGCTGGTGGGGATCATCTTCTGCACAATAGGCGCTCGCCAGCCACCACGCCTCGCCCAGTGAGGAGCAGCGGGCGCTACTGCGAGGTCCACAGAAAGACCTGACGCAGCACTGGCCTTGGAAAAAAGAGACCGGTTCCAGTCTGACCCAGGCGCCGCGTATCCGGCCCTGGCCGCCCCAAGCATTTTTTTCTCCGCCAAGATGGTGGGAGACCGGTCTCAGCTGGAAGGGGCGGGTGGAAGGTGCAAGGACTGTGGACAACGCCCCCCAGGCGAGGCACACACGGGTGGAGTTGGGACGAGCCTGGAGAGCTGCCCTGCGGGTCCCGGGGCGTTGGGAGCTGTGGGTGCCCAAGGCCAAGGAGAGAAAGGCGGGAGGGGAGAGAGGCGGGGCTGTTCAGGAGCAAGCGGAAATGGTGCGGGGAGTCAGCCCCTGGGGCCGCCCGGGGAGCTGGGTTGCGGCGTGAGCCACGTGCACCCGGGAGTACTTAGGGTGGCTGCAGTCCGCGGGTCGTCGGGGAGACCCTCTGTGGGCAGGGCCTTGCCGGTGCCTCTCTTCTCAGAATTAAGACTGTTGACGTCCCTGGCGGGGCCGGCTTCTCCAAACCAGGCCAGGGGCTGCAGGGAGAAGAATGCACCTGGTTTTGCTGCGGATCGCGACTACTCGGGCGTAAAGATGAAGCGAGAGGTGGGGGTGAGTGCGCGGCACTGTGGGGTGGGGGTCCTCGGGGGTGTGCGTCGCGTTGGCAGTCAAGCCTAAAAGAAGGAAGCTGGCTCCAGCCCTACTCCTCCACTCCCATCCCCGCCCCCTCCCCCCTAGCTAGACCATCTCCGACCATGTTTCTGGTTCCTAATTTTTTCCGCCTCTTTGAGTGTTGGTTTTGTTTTGTTTGATTTTGAGAAGGGGGTGGGGGGAAGAAGAAAGGAAGGAAAAAGAAAAAGACGAAAGCTACCGAAACTCTGTTGCTTTTCTATCTACATTCTTTTACTTCTCCGCAGCACTTCCCTAAGTCCATCCCTAAGAACCCCCATCTTAGAACCCGTGGCAAGGGGCGCTGGGAACAAGTCCACACACTCGCTGCTGCTGCCCGGCGGTACCCAGGTTGCCTCCTCACTGAGCACGAAGAAGGCGGTCTCCTCCCCACTTGCAGGCCCATGCGGTCCGCTCTCCCCCAAAGCCACTGTCACCACTACCCCGCCAACTTCCCTTGTGCCGGGCCTGAGTGGTTCTCTCCTGCAGCTTCTGACCGGTTTGTTCCTGTCCTGGCCGCCCAAGGACGTCGTTCAGGCCTGCCCAGCTGGAGGCCGGTGAGGATCCAGAGCCTGGGCAGCCCAGGCGAGGGGGCCTAGTGTGTGGTTTCAGTGCCCAGTCCCCCATTTCTACTACCTAACCCGGCGCAGGGCTGATCTAGCGGGCGGGAGGGAGACTTCTATCCGCAAGCTAGAGCTGATTTTGGCCTTGAGACCCAGCTGGGGCTTAGGTCGTTTCCAGCTCCACCCTCCCGGTTGTTCAGGCTCCCTTTGGTCGGTCAGGTTCCCCTCTAGCGGAGCTACGTACCAGGGTTCCCCACCAGGCCAATCCCGTCTAGGTAGGCTGCCTTTCCCGCATCCGCAGTCTAGAGGACCGTGAGCGTGTGCGCTGCCAGCTGCGAGCGGGTGTCCGGGAGGAGAATGCCTGGGCGGTAGTTAGACTACCGCAGCGGTCGGCTCTTGAGAGTCACTTATCAGAATGTGGAATCTGGGTCCTACGCGCCTATCCAGTTACGATTGCATTCGGGGGTATTTGCGTTCTCTTGTCTGAAAAGAGAATCTTTGAAATCCTGGAGTTGTGCTCCAGTAAGAATAGGTTTTCTTTCCAGTTTAGCTAATTACTATCAGATAAATTAAATATAGCTGCAACCAAGGACGCGTTTGATGTTATTTTAATCGAGTGTTTCTGCCTACTTACCCTCCGCTTTTGTCACATTACACATTTTTGCAAGCCCCCGTCTTCCCATATATGATTAAAGATCATAGTAAAATGATGGCAAATTCTACGAAGGGGAAGTGCTGTATTGATGCATAAGCGATGTATAATATTATACCTTTTCTGGAGAAAAGCCACATGCTAACCATCATGATAAATATGCTATCAAATTAAAATGTGATGATTCTTTGACACTGTAAAGTGTTCCCATAAGTAACTATTGTCTACACACAAAAAAATGCTTAATTAATATACATAGAAATACAAGCAGATAACCACTCATTTTAGTTATATATGCCACTGCTATGTTATTTCCTTTCAACTATTCAAATAACCATTTAATGTAACCACGGTCATAAAAAAGTTGAAAGTTATCTCGGCTTTCTACCCTAAATGTAGCACAAGTCAGAAGCTCTATTAAAGCAGGAGAAACAATCCTGTGATGAACACAGCTAGTCAAAAACGATATAACATTTCAGGTCAGCTTTTTCTTCAGTGAGTGTTTCATTTTTTACTGCTCTCCCAGAAATTTCATTTTCCTTGACTTCTTATGGAAAAAAAGAAAGAAAAAGAGAAAGAAAGAAAAAAGAAAGGCATTTCTTCTTTGCCAGTAGGACTAAATAGATTCCTGTTATTTTGTTTTTGTTGTTCATGGTGGTGTGTAAGTATGTGTTTTGGTTTGGTTTTTAGTTGAAGGATATTGGGAAAGCTATCCTTTTTTTTTTTTTTTAAAGCAATCTAGAGGCACTAGTGTTTTGTGAGAAGAGTAAATGCTTTTTCCACTTTTAAAGAAATACCACCTAGGTAGGTCAGTCCCAGAAGGCATTAAACTGATCTAATTTTCGTGAGAAGAAATTTTCCCAAGTTTCTCTCATTTTGTAAGAAAGATTTTAAAATGGAATTTTGAGCATTTTAGCTTTTTCCCCACCCCTTATGTGTTTGTATAAATGCCAGATTTCCCGAGATTGTGTTTGGAATGGAGTTTTCTAAGTAACCCACCACTTCCCTTCCCTGGGAAAAAAATCAGTCCAAGTTCAATAATCCAAGTAGTTCTTGGTAAATTGCAGGCCCTTACTGAGGATGTGAGTTTCGATTTCTCAGGGAGAGGACCTTCTACATCTATCTTATGTGTGTCTGCCCTACTCCAAAATTTTTTTAAATAATGTAAATACAGCTTTTGTCAACAAAACCAGTTCTGTTCTGCTGATAAAACACAAGGAAAAAAGCCAACTTTGTTGAATGAAAATTCAATATTTTTAAAAACAAAATACCTACATAAAGGACACCTATACAGACATTTATTTATGCTATTTGTGTGTGCTATTTGGGAGTGCAGTAGCAATTTTAACTTGGGGATTAAATTGGAATTCTGGAGGCATTCCTTAAGTTTTAGTGTGTGTGTGTGTGTGTGTGAGTTTAACTTCCTGTAGCGAAATTTCAATGTCTATAGACCTTTTAAAATGTAATCTAACTTCAGAAGAGCGGCTGCAGTCTTTGGCAGATTAATTCTTTTAAACCTGAGCGCTTGCCTGCTCGATGCGGATCTCTGAGCACTGAGGGTGGAAGAGG